ATATAATATATTCATTCAAGCAAAGTCACATTTTTATTATAGTCATTGTTGCAAAATAAATCAATCATCAAACGACAATAAATTTTTAAATTTCAGCTATAAAGCAGCTCCACAGAAGACAATACTGTCATTATTCAGCTCAATTCGGTCCAAGATTTTGTATTCTCTTTCAATAGTGTCAGTAGTGTTAGATCTTAGTCCCAGCTAAGAAACTTAATTCAGCAAACAAATTCTAATAAACATAAATAGACAGATTCAATAAAAAAACTCTTTGCATTATATATAACTTTAGACTTTTAAATAAATTAGTGCAACTGATAATCCAAGATCGAAAAAGATCTGTGAAGCTGCAAGATACTTTATAGTCCTTGTGATTGACAAAGCAAGGGCTAGATCTAATTAAATTTCATATCAGTAGGCCTACATGCGCGAGCACAAATGCGCTATTAATTTTATACAACAATGCATAGTAACACGGTGTTTCGTTCCTTGAATTAATCAGTTTTTGAACGAATCAAGTGAACCAGTGATTCACGGCCCATTCAGATGGACACTTTCCCTGCGTCCCAAATGTGCATACTATCCAGCCTGTCTGCACTAAATAGTAATTACTAATATCACAGAATTTAGGATGGATAGTAGTATGCACATTGGGACACAGGCTTGTTACATTTCTAATTGAATCAGCCGTTTTGAACAAGTCCTTTGATTTGAACGATTCAATAAATCATTTATCAAAACAAGGGCTTGCTGTGATTGACAAAGCAAGGGCTAGATCTAATTAAATTTCGTACCAATATATTTACAAGTGTTGTTATTAATTACCTTTGAGGAATACGGAGGATAAGAGGCGTTTTGCGACCCACATGTTTGATCGCCACAGCTCTGTTTTTCTTACATATGACTGGCCGGCGCCATGCATTGCCCTCAGGTGTCCGACGTTAAGGACTCGTGAGGAAACACAGCGTATGTGACTTTGGTTCCGACTACGAATGGACGCTTTGTTCAAGAAAATAAAGCGATTCGTGGGACTTTCAGTTTCGATTCCGAAAAACCCGTCTTGACATGATGTCGCTATTATATGAGGATATTGTGAAGTTTGTCGCAAATAACCTTAAATGCTCGATATGTATGGAGATTTTCACAAAGCCGGTTACACTAGTTTGTGGGCATAACTATTGTCAGAAGTGCATCAATGCATGTTGGGCAAAGAGCAGCGCAAGGAGAGATTGTCCACATTGCCGGGCAGATGTAAGCAGTAGTAAACTAGAGATAAATTTCACTCTGTGTGACATACTGGAATTACAGGACCTTGGTGGTCGCGAGAAATGGGAGCAAATTCTGGCAGAAACAGATCAAGCAGATCAAACGCAACACGCTCGGACAACTGTTTCAAAAGTGGCAAGTTCATGGACTTATCAAACAGCTTAATAATACAATATAATAATGAACAAGGGGGTAGGTAGTTGATTGAAAAGACAACTTTGAGCTTTTCCTAACTTTCTAACTTTTATTGCGACTGCTTGCTCTTTAGGATATTTTAATGAAACGTCTGGATTGGTTAAAAGCTGAGATCAAAAAGACGGAAGATACACTTTCAGCTGAGCTAAGTTCAAACCAGGCTTCTGAGGTAGCCCAATAAGTTTAATTCTTAATACGTTTACATTTGCACATGTGAGGTAATAAGTTTAATTATTAATACTTTTAAATTTGCACATGCACTATGTGAAAAAAAAATATCTTAAGAAATAATGATAATTTTGAACCACACTCAGGTTGGCATTTATGATTCCTCGATTGTTCAGATGGATGTTTCCAGTTCGTCTTTAGACAGTGATGCTTCAAGTTGTTATGCTGGCAGAAGTTTTAGTCTGACATCAGGGGATCTACCTTCTCAGTCTGAAGAGGTACAGCATTTTTGGTATCTGATGACTTATAACAATACTATTATGACTCTGAGCAAGGTCCACAAAAAATGTGTTTGTATGTATGTGTACAGTTCTCTGTCTGGGAAAACACTAAATAACCATAAATACATTTATTAAATAATTAGGTGCTGTTTGTGATGTTAGCCATTGTAGAACATCCGCCACCAAAAAAGCCACGCCCCTATCCACAACCCACAAGAATGATCGGCATCTGTTTAAATGCACTTTATTGCTCTCAGCTTCCTTCATTGAAAGCTTTACTGATGTTTACATACGTCTTGCTTCTTTTGTAGTCACTTTAAGTTGTTATTGTTAAAGGACTAAAACATTTCACATCCTCCCAAATAGCTAAAAACTTAACAACAACAACAAAAAAAGTTACTTTAAAGCCCTCAGATTCTGGCTTATGCACTATGACAGTGCTAAATGATTGACATGCAGAAAGCACCTCAAATGTCCTTTGATCAGCTAAACAAAGAATGTGACATTTAATTGGGCAAATACTAGACATGATCAGTTTTTATGCTTATTGTAGGGCCACTTATTTATCCAGTTTATGAAAATATTAACGTGCAATTCCATTCACTAATTATTTTTTATTCAGCAATGACACATTAAAAATGACAGTATAGACATTTATAACATTTCAAAGATTTAAAAGAAATGCTGTTCAAAAATATGAAACAGCACTATCTTTAACATTGATAATAATTAGAAATCTAACTCAGCATATTAGAATTATTTCTGAAATATCATGAAGACTGGAGTAATGATTGCAAAATAATTAAATTCACATCAATACATTATATTTTAAAATCTAATGAAATAAAAATGATTTACTGTGAATTGTAATATTTCACAATATTACTGTTTACTGTTTTTTTGATCAAATAAATGTAGCCTTGCTGAGCATAGGAGACTTTCAAAAAATATTTTTTTAAATCTTACAACACCCCAAACTGTTGAATGTTAGTGCAAACATTTTAATGATTCATGATAAATTATATGTCAGGTCACCTTTATTTATATAGCGCTTTATACAGTGCAGATAATTTCAAAGCAAATATGTGTACACATGGGAAGTTAATGAGATCCAATAATGTTCTTATGAGATGCCTATATGAGAGGTTTGGGAACCATTTTTTTTTCATCAAATCACCCCAACAAGTATATGTATTCACTAGTGATTCAAGGATCTTAATAAAATTTAAGTAAGAATTCTGAGAAATATATTTAGTCATTACTCATGGAAAGGAGCTGATTGTTAAAAACGTAATCTTTCTCAGGAGAGTTCACAGGAGTTTGTAGAGGAGGCTCCAGAAAATTCAGAATCTCTGTTTGAGGATGCTCATCTCACTCCCAGTGCAGGAGCACAGCAGCGCAACAGAGACAGTGCTGAGGGTTATGTTTTTATGCTAACATTGATTTTTATGCAAGCTTGAGCTAAAAATGTGTCTTTGGTGCTATTCATGTTAACTTAAATGTCTTTCTCTCCCTCCCAGCTGGTCTTCATGCAGAGTTCGTTGAGCTTTCTTTTTCTCCCCAGCTGGGAAACAAGCGGCTGGTTTTTCACACAGAGAGCCGCAGAGTAGAAACACAACCGGGGAACCAAGCAAGAACATCACACGGGCGTTTTGATGCCTGTCAGTGGATGGCGGAGCAGGAATTCAGAGGAGGGTGGGTTTACTGGGACGTGGACACCACATTCAGCACTGGATGGGCTGTTGGTGTGGCAAATCCCAGTCTGAAGCGTAACGAGAGGTTGGGAAGAACTCCTTCATCTTGGTGTTTGGAGTGGAGCAGTGGGCAACTGAGTGCTTGGCACAATAATATAAAAACTTCTGTTAAGCATAGCATCCCTAATGGGATCAGAGTCATTCTGGACATGCCAAAAGGACAGTTGTCCTTTCAGAGTCTGCGTGATAGCCTGCTTGAATTACACAGTTTCCAGGTGGATTCCTCTGGCCCTTTCATACCTGTCTTCTGGCTTTATGGACTGTCACACAATGCCTTAACCTTTCCTAGACATTGAGTTCAGGATAACAGAGATCTGTAGCATTTACACTTTATCCTTTATACACGCCATTTTGTTTACAGAATATATATTCTATTACTATTACTATATAAAGGAATCTTGTATTTTATTTTTATTTTGTTAATTACATATCTGTGTAATCTCATTTGGCTTTCTGGTATTTAACCATTTAACCACACATCCATAATTATTCTAGAACTAAAGAATGTCCCTTTTTTGCTATCCTGTTTATTTCTACAATTTTAGATTGCAATACAGCTAATATTGTTGGCTCCTTTATGATGTTTTCTTTTTTGTTCATTGTATTTTGGGCACTTTAGATAAAAGTTAAAGTATACATGTATAAATGAATGTAGAATTGTTCTGCGGATTGCTGTAATATACTGTAATCTTAATGGTACAGAAGATTATGTAATGTTTTTTTTTTTGTGTCTTGATAGCATTTGTAAATGGTGATTTTCAAATAACAACTTTATACTAATTTAAAACTGAAGAATCTTGCGTTTTCTTTTGAGTTTTGCATAGTTTGTCCCTCAGTGAGACCCGTAGACATGTTGGAGGTCGTGTGTGTAACACTAGGCTACATCAGTTAACAGCTGCTGAGTGTCTCCATCCCTTTAGACTGCATCAGTACCAATAGATGCCGATGCTTATATCATCTTATATCTTATATCATCGTATCCCATGATTTTAAAGAAAACCTTCTAATCAGTTTTAATTGTTCATAATGTCAAGCTTACTTGGTGTCGAGGTTGATATGTGCATTGCTGTGGACGTGTGTAAAATCCTGATGATTATAATAGGTTCAGTTTGACTTCACAAGTGGGAAATATGTGAAAAGACGTGAGGATTCTGTTGGTTGGAGAACGTAAGTCTCTTATTGATTACATGGTTTCCTTTAAGTGTTACGAAACCATAACCTTAAGATAACTGAACCTTAAAATTAATTAAACATTTACAAGTGTCCACTGAAAAATTTAGCTCATATACGAAGCAAATGTCTGAAGTGGTTGCATTGTAACATTAAATAAAATCTCTATGTCTGATGACAAGGTTTCCGCATTGCCACTGCAGTTTCAGATGTCATAATAACCTGCCCTTCTTGAAATGACAGCGCATTGATTCATAACATTGATATGGATGTTTTGTTAGGTTTATTTATGACAATATGATGAGAGGGATAGTGAACTTCCTTCAGTATGTAGTCAACGGTTTTGGCCATCTTTCCATGCGCGATTCGAGTCATCCGACTGTTTGGTTCAGTTTGTGTGTGGTGCCCACTGCCCAATAATACTGTCTAGGTAGAGCGCTCACTGCAGAGAATCAGGGGCGGATCTAGAAAATAATTTTTAGGGTGGCAAAGGGGTGGCATGGGATCTATGAGGGGTGGTAACGCTAACCGACCAAACCATTTACGTTTTTAAAACAAGACTTTAAGACAAGCCAGCATAAATTTGTCTTTCAAACTTTTCAATCTAGTT